TGTCAGCACAGAGCCCAATGGGGGGCTCAAACCATAAACCGTGAGACCTGAGCTGAAATCGAGAGTCAGATGCCCAACCAACAGAACCACCCAGGGGCCCCTAAGTCATCATCTTAATTCTGGGATCAGCAAAGATTCAGGGAAGGTATCAGATGAGGACCGAGACAGCTCTGATTACCTGTCAGTTGCCATATTCTTAGGCTCAAAAAAGTAAACACGAAACGAAAGGCTTTGGACGCAGCATAGCTTTGGACGCAGTGGCCTCTTCTGTGTTTTTCCCGTTTGCCATAATCATCTGGGAACAAGGCAGTGCTATGAGGTCGCTTAGTTCAGTTCTCATTGCTGTCTTCCTGGCGTTAGTTTTCCAGCCAACACTTAGCGTTTTCTAAATCATTGGGTGTGTATTTTTTTCCCTCTTTAAATCCCCATACGTTGCCACATGCACAGGGAGCATTTTTAAGGGACTTGCATGAAACGAAAACATTGAACCGAACAAGTCAACTCTAAATGGTGGGATCGCATGTCACTTGGGGTGACTCTGACCCCAGCCGGGGAAAATGGATCTTTCTTCAGCTTTTTTCCCCACGTGGCCACTGGGAAGCCAGATTGCTGCCTCCAAGGCCTCTGCTCCTTCTCTCTTCCCGCCCCAGTCCTAGAAAGCGAAGCCTTTCTTTTTCCTGGATGACTCATTTCCAAGGTTTGATGAAAATATGTTTTGGTTCAACATACTTTCAGCTCTAGCTGGATTTTATAGTGAGGCCTGATAGAAACGGTTTCCAGTCTTGAAACCCATATCCGGCGATGAGGGTCTGCCCCTCCTGGTTTTCCTTCGGGGATGCTAAATGATGTGTTAGCCTGAGAGAATATTTCCTTTCCTGCTGCCCCCTGGTTTTTTTGTTGGTTTTTTGGGTTTGTTTTTTTTTTTTCTTCTTTTTCACGGTTTTCTCATTCGGAGCTGGTTTTGTCTTCCTCTCTTTGCAGACTTTGGTTTGAGCAACTGTGCTGGGATCCTGGGCCACTCGGACCCGTTCAGCACGCAGTGTGGCAGTCCAGCCTATGCCGCCCCCGAACTTCTTGCCAGGAAGAAATATGGCCCCAAAATCGATGTCTGGTCCATGTGAGTTATGGTGCTTATAAAAGGGGATGCTCTCTTTGGTCGTCTTTACTCTCCCTTTCTTATAAAATAACCTTTGCGTATTTGATGAGGACGTGTTCTATTCCAGGCTCTCAGATACTTGGTGATTTTTGGGGCGGGGGGGCAGCTTTCCCGCTCTGGTTCCTTCTGGTCTGTTCTCCATAGACCACCGGAGAGGCTTTTACCAAAATTCGTTCTGTTGCTGGGGAGACAAGAAAACCAAGTCCTGAACTCACAGAACTCACGATCTGGTTTTATGAGTCACTCGCATCCTTCCCCTGCTTAAAATCGCCCCTTAGCTTTCCATCAGCACCAGAAGAAAACAGCCCCTGCCTGGCCCACGCTCCTGCCTCTCCACCTCCTACCCTACCCTCTACTCACGGTTCTTCAGGGATGCTGGCCTCTGTTTCATCTTTCCCACCTCTGGGCTTTGCACTTGCCATTTCCTTTGCCTGGAATATAATTTC